CCCGCGGCGCGGGACTCCATTGTGGCCGGACTGCTGGCGGCCCCGGGACTTGCAGGCGGTCTGGCCCGCGGCCCTTCCGCCACCCAGATACCTTTGTCTGGTCTCTTCTTTGACAGGTTGAGCCCGTTCTCCTCGCAGGCGCTCAGGCGTCGAAGGACGTCGGCCAGCGCTGCCTTCAGTACTTGGATCTCGTCCTCTTGCAGCTGGAGGCGCTGCTCCAGGTAGGAGATGCGGTCGTCCACCTCCATGCTGCTGAGGCCGGACAGGTTGTCATCTGGGGAAACAAAGTCAGGAAGGAGCACGGAGCCGGCACCCAAGAGAGGCCCTGGAGTCTCCCCTCCAGTGGCTTTTGCGTTTATCCCACTTTCCCTCAGGAGCTCAAGGCTCCCAGGGGGAGGGAAATGGGTCCTCCTCCCCAGTTTTTCCTTCCAGGAACCTGGCAAGAGCCTGAGGCCCCCAGAGGCCACCTTCTCGGCCAGGTGAAGATTCAAGCCAGGCGGTCCAGGCTGAGACCAGCATCCCTGGAGGATTCGCTCTAACAGGGTTGATCGTCAGTCTGGGTGGAACTCAGCCTCCCTCTTTGATCTAGGCCATCCCTTTGGCACAGAGGCACTCTGACCCCCGAAAAGAGCAGCCCCCATCCCAGACTGGCCAGGGACCGTGGGGAGGTGGCCTGAGCCAATCCCAACCCCGTCTAAGACCACTTTGGACTGCACACTCAAGGACAAGTGACCCTGCCACATTTTCGCACTCAGCGACGTGCGAGGCCAGTCTGGGTAATAATTCTTTTATGGGCTAATGGCCAGGTGAGGGGGAAGTGAACCACGGGTGCCTTTATGTGAACACGGGTGAAGGGTTGGGAAGTGGACTTCCCTGCCCGCACAGCTGCAGGGAGGTGTTTTTCTCGCACTTGGTCAGCAGTGGGTTGGGAGTCAGAATCGCCCAGGACCGGAGCTTGGCACATGCTGCCTCCTCCTCCTCCCTGCTAGCGTTTCCAGAGCAAGAAGGATAGCCCATTCAGAGATGCCTGTGACTGGCCTGTGCCCACCTGCCTGCCCACAGGTGTGTTGCCACCTCCTCCACTGGAGGGGGGCATCTGCCAGCAGGCATAGTCAGCTGCAGGACTGGCAGCCTTGAGCTGGGACTCCCCTGGTTCTGCTGCACTGTCTGCCCACTTCCCTGATCTTTTCTGCAGTGGCAAGGGCTGGTGCCTGTCCTGCCTGCCCATTCCTGCATTCATTGGCTCGCTTGCCTGGCACTGCCGCCCATTGCACGCTGGCCCCTCCCTCCGCCTCCTCGCAGCATCCCTTCGCTGCTGCGTCCAATCACAGGCACTGGGTCTTGCAGCCAGGCAGAGTACCAGCGATGGCGGGGCTGAGGATGGGTGGTGGGGCAGCCACTGGCCAGCCTGATGCTTCTGGTGGAGGTGGGGGGGCACCTCATTGGAGAGAGGCTCAGAGCAGCCCTGCTGGGCTCAGATATGTGTGAGGCCTCCGGCCTGCGCCTGCTCTCTTGCTGGCTGGTCTACCTCCCAGGGCTGTGAGGAGGGGGCTGGGTGAGTCCCAAAGTGACCCTCCCTAACCCCTGGAGGCTGACTTGGACCCAAAGCCTGCTTGGCACGTGTTGGAAGAACAGGTCCCCTCTGAGCATGCGGAAAAGGCAGATGGTCGCAGAGGCGGGGGGCCGGCCGGGGCCAGGTGCCGCGAACGCCCCTCCCGCGAGCCGAGGAC